ATAAGCCAGTAAGTGAATACCTAGATCTGCAGAAGTGAATGCATTTTTTCCTATATTTACCATTAAGAAATAACTTGATCATACTGGAATATAGCTTGGTGGTAAAGTATCTGCCTAGCATGCATGAAGCCCTGGGTTAGATTCCCAGCACTGGAAACACACAATCACAAACACACACACACCCCCAAAACCCCCCCAAAACCCCCAAATCCCAACTTTTCATCCTTACTTTCCTCTTTTGTTGTTTTCCCCAAAAAACTTCTAGAATATCTATATACCTATATTACTTTTATAGTAAGGAAAAAAACTAACAAACATTGGTTTAGTCTTAAGGGGAATTAGTTTTTCTTTTCCACAATTAGTTTGTGTTTTTTTTTCACAGAGTTCCAACCTTCCTTAATTACATCCAGATTATGTGTTTTGTGCTGGTGAAACTGCTGAGTGTGATGTTCCTAAGTAAGGTCCATTTTCCTTTCTCCTAAACATTTCACAGGATGATTTATATGCAAGCCTTTGGATTTTTGTAGGATTTTAATACAGCACTTCTAGAAATTTTCTGTACAATTTTATTCATGAGTGCTCATGGATACAAACTTTCCCTCTTCCATACCTATTTCAAATTAGGACTAAATAATGTATTCTTTGAAAACTAAATCTGGAACTATTACAAAGTCATGTCATATATTATAAAACCAAATTATAAATGGTTTTTGAATGATCCCCATAATATCTCCTTAAATTTTGAATATTTACATAGTCCTCTTGCTACCTTTTTTTTCTTTATAAGTCAGATCCTTAAAAAATTCTATGACTGGACAATTGGAAGCATAGATTTCTATTGGTGGTATTTTATACGTGTGGATTGCTGATGCAAAGGGACACAATTTGAATCAGAAAACCAGCATATTTCCTAGAAAACAATATCAGACCACATGTGGACTGACAATGGAGCTGGGGTCTAGTTAATGGAAGACAGAAAAATGGCCACTGGAAAACTCACATCTTGGGTCCTGAATCCTCTAGGGCTTAATCTCACATCTCTTTAATTGTATGGTTACATTTCTTTCAGTTCCATCTGTTCTATTCTTTCAATTTGTAGAAGTGTCCATGTTTTGATGATTCATTACCTTTTATTTTTTAAAGTAATAATATATGCATCTAGCACAAAAAGTACAAAAAGGTATAGTAAGAAATGTCAGCCTGGGTCTGGGGTTGTGGCTCAGTAGTGAGGTGCTTGCCTTGCATGTGTGGAGCACTGGGTTTAATCTTCAGCATCACATAAAAATAAACAAACAAAATAAAGACATTGTGTCCAGCTACAGATAAGAAATTATATATATAATAATTGCTTATATATAACTAAGTATTCTAATATAATAAAAACTTTTATGTATAAGTTTTATATATATAAAAGAAATGTCAGCTTCTCTTCCACCTTGCAATCAAGCATTCAGTTCCCTTCTTCAGAGATCACCAGTTAATCAATTTTCCATCACCCTTTCTTTTCCATTTCCACCACAAACTCCCTAAATCAAGTACTAATTTCTTCACAGAATATATTCAAGTAACAGCTGAAACAAGTTTGTGTTTCTTTCTGGGTCAAACTAACTTTCTTCTACCAGATAGAATAACCCCAAATACAAAAATGTCTGGGAGAGAGAAGGGAAGTGCTGAAAAGTGACACTGGCCAAATGATATTGTTATATTGTGCTCATGTATCAATATGTAACAACAAATCCACCATTATGCACAACTATAATGCACCAAAAATTGTGGGGAAATGTCTGGGTAAGATCTGAAGTGGATTTAATGTACATAAGACAATTATAGAAAGATATTACATAGTGTCAGTGGAAAGCTTATCTGAAGCCTTCTATATAGCATAATATTCCATAAATTTTTATTAAGTCATCGAAATGGTCAATGAACAAACATGTCACATTGTAGGGATCAGAAAGGAAAATAGTTTCGTTGCAAAATAGAGTTCAGAATAAGAACTAACGAAATATGGGGGCCATAGTAATCTCACAATTGTTAATATCAAATGAATAAGAAATATATGCCAGGTGTTGTCATAAACTTCTAAGTACTTTTATTATTTATTTCTTAATAACTCCTAAGAGGTAGCATTTTCTTATTTTATACAGCAGGAAACTGTATCTTGGGAAAGATTACAAATTTCCAAGGATATCCAGCTTATGTGTAGTCAAAAGTTAAATCCATTTTCATTGTTTCGAACAAAGATGAAGAAATCTGAAGCATTCTGGAACTTGTAAACTAGAATTTGGGGGTGCTAACAATATGGTAGCACCATCCAAGGTATTTATGAAGATCAAAGAAATGCATTAAATATGGCTCCTTCCCTGAAAAGGATTTATTTGCACACAATAGTTTTTCAAACTTGTTATCATTTTGTTTTGAAGGTGACTTGAGCCTTTTTATTAGTGCTTTCTTGATTTCTCATATTATAACCCTCCTGAAGTACACAGGTACTTGCTGCTATTTCCTTTGAATCTTCTTCCATAGACTAAGATTAACTCTTGAATTTTCTCTATTTCTGAATTATCACCAGTCTTAAATGTGACAGATATCCTAGGAATGAGCAATGGAAAGTGTAAGTCCCTGACTCATTAGAATAGTGGTAAAAATATTAGTAAAATCAAGAAAAAGTAAAGCATATCTTTGACCTGTTTGCAGAATTGGAAAGTACATTATTCTGACTGATGTAGTCCTTGATCCCCAGTTCTTGGAAAACATTTACCAGTCACAAGTCATGAGCCAACTGGCATAGGGAAAAATTAAGGTGTGTCTCTCAACCACTAGAAATGAGATTTCACCTTTTCTTCTTTACATTTGAAAATAATACAATGGACTATTTCATCCTGTAGACTACAGTATTCCCTAAAGTAGTTTATAAACTGAAGAAACAGAATATATAACCAAGAGAGGATTTAAAAATGAATATAATTTCATAAACAACATAAAATAGGAATATTTAATAAAGCATAAGGACAATTCTTGCAGGGAGCAGGCATGAATCAAGAGAATATAAAAAAATATATCAGACTGGGCTCTAAAAAGGACTATTTTGTGGGGAAATAGCACCAGAGTTCACATCAAAAAACAGTTACAGATGTGCCACAAAATGATGATCCCTTTAATCTCAGAATGACTGGATATAGGGCTGGATTCGGGGCAGAGCCTTATCTCCAGGTATGAGAAGGTTGAACAGGGGATCCCTCCAAGTGTAGTTTGGCCTATGTACCAAACTGCCCTTGACAGTTTATCTTCTAATCATCAAAGGAGGCAAGCACAATGGTGGCATTTGGCATGTGCTAAGTGGAACCAAGAAGGACTTCAGCAGCCAGCTGAGAGTATGGTGCTGCTTTCTGTAGCCAAGAGACCCCTGGAGTTGCTAGGAAGGTGATGTTCCAGGATGCCTGGGGCTGGGCATGAAGCCCGGAGTGCAGCCAGCCAGAGGAAAGGTGCTGGACGGCTGAATAGTATGTCCCAGTGAAGGCAGCTCTGAGTGATAGCTCCAAATCTTGGACTTTGAATATTTCAAGCACTTCCGCATATCTGTGACTGATGTGCCCTCTGACCAACTTAGCAACTAGACTCTTTTTAGCACATGGATTTTTTGAAGATTAGACCTTTATCCTCTTTTGAAATATTTGGTATGAAAGTGTTCAAATAAATGGGTTAAAATTCTATTCTTATTACCCTAAAAAAAACCCACAATATTATATTTGTCAGTGAAGGAAACAGAAGAGCCAGCAAATTTTTGAAATATAATTTCAAAATTATAAAAAAAAAGTCCTTTTACGTCTTTAGCAGCTTCTTGGGCAAAGATTGCCATGATAATTATCAGTGATTATCAAAAATACAGATACTATATTATTAAAAACACTTGGATCTGGAAATATGTGTCATATTTCAAGTATAAAACCAGATATAAACAAGTTTAATTGTGGAATCTAGCTCTAGTTTCTCCCTAAAAGTTTCAAAAAGATATTACTTGGACGTTTAAGATACATTCTGCATTTAACATTTTCCTTAATGCTGTGTATATATTTGCTATTTCGTGTTACATAAAGAAAAGTAAGAAAATGTAAAAGAAAAAAAAAACTCACCAAGTCATCTATATATACTGCCAAATCTCTGTTCCATGTTCCTCTAGCATGCTATATTAATATTTGCATTATTTTCTTTGTGTGCAATGACATAAAAATACTGGGAAGTATTCTAAAAAAATCACCTTTTATTACTAGAAAATATTCAACCTTTCCTATCACAGGCACATCAAATGAGGAAGGGAGAGGAAATGATGTGCTGCGTGGAGGCAATAGACAAAAGCAGTTGTAATAAAAAACAAAAACAAAAATAAAAAACCCTGCCTTTTCACAAGAGCCAGGAAATTCCCAGAACTATAATAATACTGTGGGGGGGAAAAAAAAAGAGGACTTTCTCTTTTTAAATTGTGGAAGGCACATAGCTTAATTTTGCGCTGTTGGAAAAAAAAGATTAACAAGTGAAAAAGTAAGCCTCGTATAATTAAAATAAATATGTGTATTTTATTTGTATTATTTAACATGTGAGACATGCAAAAGTGATGCAAGGCAATGCTGAATGGTATGCCCAGTAAGGCCAAAAATCGGTTATGAGAGAAGCCAGGTAACCTGGCTGCCTAGCCAATGCGGTTATCCACGAGCCTGAATCTTCCTTTCAGATCATCTTCTCAAATTATCCATAGGAGATTTATCCACATACTCAATAAGAAAAATATTTCTAATTATATCCAACCATTCTTAATATGAATGAGAATTATGCAGGGATGCCAGATTGCCAACAGGGTTTTTGCCAAACAATTCCTTTTGACTTAAGAAAGAACAGGCAGCTGCATTGTTTCCATAACTATCCATATAAAAGAGCCCTCGGAATGAAGCTGACTCGTCCTGCTTTAAAAAGCTCCAAGGTAAGTGGGAGCAGGACTTTCAAGAGGGACACTGGGGACACTGGCTACATCGCCTGAGCTTCGGCTGCTGGTTCTGGTACTGCTGTCTTGCTACTTGGCCTTTTACACTTATGAATTCTGTTGCTTTCTGCTTATAATAACAAGCAATTCAAATAGGATCCCCATCCCTCTTTGATTAACTAAGTGCTTTTCCTTTTTCTTTTACAGAACTGCCTTACTTTCAGGTTACATCTTTTCACTTGCTAATAAGGTAAGATTTGGACTAACCAGTTTTTAGAGGTGAATGCAAAAGGCTCTTGGATGGGTTTGTGTCACTTAGCAACCTTTTGAGAAAATGCTTACCTCAGTAAATACCTTCCAGCAACAGTAAAGGGATGGAGAGGGAAAGAGAAGGAGGGCTTTCAAACTCTTGTTTATGTCTCAGGTACTGGTGAGGTGACATTTGAACTAGAGAATCATTTATAATAGAAGATTATTTTACCTCCGAAGAAGAAGGACACAGCACTCAAATTCCCTTGCTAAAATGCTCAGATTTGATTAAAATGTATCCTGCTACTAGCATTCATTCAGTAATCATGATGCCCAAGAAATAAGAAAAAAAGTATCCAGGAAGATGCTCCTTTAAACTTCTTTAAAGCCCTTATAAAAAGTTACTCTGTGCAATGCTGAGTGCTATATAAAATGAAAAAAACTGTAGAATTTTAGTTTTCAGTAATAAAGGCATTAAGCTGCCCCATTACTACACTCTGCATTTCTAAAGAGAGAGACTGGAATAGCAGATTAAAATGATTTCAAGTAATTTGATCATGCAATGACTGTAGTGGCATTCTTTGCCAAACCAAGCATTCTACTGATGCCATTGGCAACCTGCAGACAGCACAGTCTAAAGCAACCAAGTCCTGCATTCTTTAGAAGGAAATTCATAACAGCAAAGAGAGCAGTGCTTTCGGTTTTATCATTAACTAGTTTAACTGGGTTAAACTGATTGACTGGATTTGCTATGCAAGGAAATTTTGTTAGAGTGAATCTATTAAGACTCCACTAAAAGGGAAAACAAAGGTAAATAAAACTATAATCCCCCCAAATCCACTTTGAGCAAGTTTGTCTATACATCTAAAGGAAAAAATAAAGTTTTCTTCTTTGCATGGCAAGACGTGGCATTTTTAGTGATATTATAGTAAATTGACATTTTATACATCAATGATAGCCTAAGCTATTTCAAATTACTACTTGTTCAGTAGTAACTTGTTTTTTCAAAGTATCATCATGATATATCATGGGCTGTGAATTAAGAAAGAGATATTATAATCCCTAAAGACAATGAGATCAAGTGACTTATCCAAGGACACAAGCAACTTAGCAGCAATTTTGAGACAATAACCCAGTTTCTTGATTGGAATGTGAGCCTTGGAGTATGAAAGAAGATAATGGATGTCAAGCTCTAAATACAGTATTGCATGCATAGAGATCTTTGATGCATTTCAGTTTTGGTGATTACGTTTTTTTTTTTCAATAACTCGATGGTGTACAGTAGAAATGCCTAGTGGAAATTCCAACTGGGCCCATGGAATACAACCAATATGAAGATCTACTGGTATAACAGCCCTTCAGAGTCTATAGTGTGAAATGTTTTATCCCTTTAGGACCTCTGAGATCAGCAGCCATGAGTTCAGACTCAGAAATGGCTGTTTTTGGGGAGGCTGCTCCTTACCTCCGAAAGTCTGAAAAGGAGCGCATTGAGGCCCAGAACAGGCCCTTTGATGCCAAGACCTCAGTGTTTGTGGCAGAGCCCAAGGAATCCTTTGTCAAAGGAACTATTCAGAGCCGAGAAGCTGGGAAAGTGACAGTAAAAACTGATGCAGGGGCGGTGAGTAGAGACCCAGGAACCTGCCATATTTCATTGAATTGGGGGAGGGAGGGTTTGGTCACTTGATTGATGTTAATGGTCATCCTTCTTGTTTATCAGACTCTGACAGTGAAGGACGATCAGGTTTTTCCCATGAACCCTCCCAAATTCGACAAGATCGAGGACATGGCCATGATGACCCACCTGCATGAGCCTGCTGTGCTGTATAACCTCAAAGAGCGTTATGCAGCCTGGATGATCTATGTGAGTGTCCCCTACCAGGGGTCTTTATTACCATCACTGCTTACCTTATCAGCCCATGGCCTCCACTGCAGCATAAAGAGTCCCAAGTAGTGACATATTTTCATTTTCACTATTAGCATAACTAGTTAAGCGTTCATGCTATTATAATGAACTACATAATAAATATTACACTTTAGTAAGGCACAATGCAAACACCAGCCCATCTTTTCATTCAAAGCCAAGGAAGGACATTATCTTTGTTGACTAAATTGACCACAGATCTATAATTAAATATTTGAGCAGTTACTGATTTTTTTTTATATTTATTTTTTAGCTTTAGGTGGACACAATATCTTTATTTTTATATTTATGTGGTGCTGAGGATCGAACCCAGTGCCTTATGCATACTAGGCAAGAACTCTACCACTGAGCCACAACCCCAACCCCAGCAGTTACTGATTATATCTCAACTATCTGCCTACATCTTCCCCATCCCCTTCTCCACATTCCAGTTGCAGAATCATTCCAAGGAGGGAAAATATAAACTTATATTTTATCACTTAAAAATGATTTTTAGGGACAAATTTCACTCATTTTCACTCTGCCCAAATAACAGTAGTTTGCATCTATGTGTTCTGGTTCCTTCTATTTGGAATGCCACCTCTTCTGTGAAACCTTTCCAACTTCCCCAGGCAGAGTCTGGTGGTGTGTCCCATTGTTTCAGTCCCTGCAATCACATTGGCCATGTTTTTCCTGCATCATTCATTATATCACTGTCTCCTGAGTTGACTGGGAATTCCTCAAGGGACACAATCTCATTTATGTTTTATTTCTACTGCCTGGCAGGGACCTGGAACATAATTCACTTTCCAATAAATATTTTAAATTCAATATATTATGTTACATTCATACTTTTTTTAACCAGTGCTGATATTTAGCTGGGCGACACCTAAACAGGCGTATCTGGTGTTTATGGTCAATTCTGTTTTAACTGGTTGTTCTGTTCTGGACTAGTTGTCAAATGTTTTAAAACTCCTCTGTTGTAATCATAATATATTTGCATCATTTTTTCTTGTGTCTTTATAATTTAAAATAGTTTGAAAACTATATTCCCAGTGTTGTTACATACTGTCACGTTTACCTTTTTAAAGGTTAGAAAAATAAAAAACAAAAACATGTTTTATGTTGCCTTAAGATTTACTACAGTTCACCTAATCACTTCCTTATTGTTAAACATTTAGCTAATATCTAAATTTATGTTGTTATAAATTTGAATTATCTTAATTCTGCAAAGGAAGTATATGACTTTCTTTAAAAGAGTACAAATGTCTCATAGAACACATTTAAAAACAAGCAAACAGACAAACATGTTTTTACAGTTCCTGCCATGTAAAAAAGCACTGTGACAATTTCCGAGGGGAGAAATAAGAATTCTGAATTATGGTCCCTTCCCTCAAGGATGTTGCTATCACATTGCTGAATCCACCAACTAGTTTTCATGTTGATGCCTTAAAGAAATGTAGAACATTCACTTTAACTCCTCCTTTTTGTTACAACCCAATTAATTATGGAACTGAGCAAATAACAGAAAAGGCCTTTGGGTAGTAATTCTTTCTTTCCTTGCAAAGACCTACTCAGGACTCTTCTGTGTCACTGTCAACCCCTACAAGTGGCTGCCAGTGTATAACCCAGAGGTGGTGACGGCCTACAGAGGCAAAAAGCGCCAGGAGGCCCCACCCCACATCTTCTCCATCTCTGACAACGCCTATCAGTTCATGCTGACTGGTGAGTTGGTCAGATGTTTTGTGTGTACATAGTATTTCTAGAGCAGAACCATAGAGGAGAGGGTGTGGCAGAGAGGGAGAGAGAGAGATTCTATAACCAAACCAATTTCAACATACTTCAAAACTATCCCCTCGAGGTGAGACAGGTTTATTTATGAGATATTATGTAATGGCTAATGATTTCTTAAATGTTTAAACTTCAGTAAAGGTTGTCCATGATTAAATAATTTATTTTTGAATGACTCAGAAATTCAAATAAATTTGAACAAAAATAAAAACATATCTGTGTACGTGTACACACATGCACATTCAGACACAGAATCACACATACAAACTGGATCTCCACTTACCCTAAGCCAAAAAAACAGGAGAGTAAACCTTGCCTCTGGGGTTTTATTCTCAATAACATAAATTGTGACCAATGAACATAAATTAAACATGCCACAAATGCTATTTCTCTTTCCCGGGTGCCAATTTGAACTGTCCTAATATTTTAAAGTATATAAGGTATTAAGACAGTTATGTTAATCTGTTTTTTACAATATTGTCTCAGATAGACTTATCATAAGTACCCAGAACTCCTCTGGAAAGAGCTTCAAGAATTCCTTGTTAGAATAAAACATCGAAACAAACTTTTATCCTCCCCTGAAAAATATAACTAAACCCATGAGTACTTTCACAGCAACCTCCTTTTACTATTTTTCTTACTTTTCCACATGCTAAAAATATCTCCAACATCCATTTTTCATTACTTCTTTCATCCATAAAAAATATGTAACTAACTAAAGTTGTCATCAATACTCAAATAATAATGTCAAGTCTGCTTTTGTTATTTATTTAATGGTAGAGTATTAAAAAGAAAGTCTGACGCTTCAGGAAAATAGAGCCATGTGATTATCAATTATACTCTGGCTTTCAAACATTTTCTTTCATCCCAGAATCTTCTCCTCAAATGAAATATTTCTTGAAAGACTTGAACATAAGACAGATAAAAGTGGCAGTGTTAATTTTAAATGGGTGCATGTGTGCAAAAGTGGGGGAGAGAGTAGAAAAGAGAGGTGCTAGAAAGATGGTGGACCCAATACCCACAAAGCCCAAAGAATTGCAAAACCCAGGCTTAAAAATATTAAGTTCATTCCATTTTATTTTGTCATTCACAAATGTATAAGAAAACAGTACTAAATGTCCACATTTTCTCTTTTGTAGACCGGGAGAATCAGTCAATCCTGATCACGTAAGTAGATTTTATGCTTTCTTTTCATGAATGTGATAGCTGCTAGCTTTGGGACCTCATTTGATTTTGTTGTGATTTGACAGTGGAGAATCTGGTGCAGGGAAGACTGTGAACACCAAGCGTGTCATCCAGTACTTTGCAACAATTGCAGTTACTGGAGAGAAGAAGAAGGAAGAATCTGGCAAAAACCAGGTGGGCCTGACTGCCATGGTCAGAATCCCAGGCTCTGTTAGGGCTCTCAGGTATGAAATTCTTGAGCCCCAGATGCAAGAACTGCTCTCTCCTTTGCAGGGGACTCTGGAAGATCAAATCATCAGTGCCAACCCCCTACTGGAGGCCTTTGGCAATGCCAAGACCGTGAGGAATGACAACTCCTCTCGCTTTGTAAGTCTCTTGGACGCTATGATTGGCTCTGTTCACAGGTCAAAATTGATGGGATGTTTGTGAATACATTCTTTGAATCTTTTATTAACATTATATTACACTGACTTTTTTCTTCTGAACATGGATCAAAAATCCTGTCTTAAAAGATATGTGCCCTTTTCTGAGTTCATTCTAACCTGTCATTATATTATTATTCACAATTAAATTTTTCATTTATTTTCAATTGATGATAATTGATTACCTTTATGAGGCAGACAATGATGTTTTAATATATTTATACAGTATGAAATCAAACTAACATATCACCTAGCATGTGTATCAAATGTACAAATTTTAAGATAAAAGAAAATTCTTTCACTTACAAAATAGGTTTTTTGTTTGTTTGTTTGTTTGTTTTTTAGTTCTAGACACAAATCATCTCTAAATTGATTTAGTATTAAAGCCTTACCATCTTAAGTGTTTTGGAGTTTGCAAAGATTTGATATTATTGAAAAATAAGAGAATAATATTAGTTTTCCTTTCAAGGGTAAATTCATCAGAATCCACTTTGGCACTACAGGAAAACTGGCTTCAGCTGATATTGAAACATGTAAGTGCTCAAATATCCTTGAAAATAATTTCTGTTCCTTATGAGCTATAAAATTAACCAAAAATCAAATTTTTACATCACAGGAATTTTTATACTTTACCCGTGTATTGTTTGTTTTCTTCTAGATCTGTTAGAGAAGTCTAGAGTTACCTTCCAGCTTAAGGCTGAAAGAAGTTACCATATTTTTTATCAGATCACATCAAACAAGAAACCAGAACTAATTGGTAAGAAAGATCATATTTCCTTTTCAAAATTCCTATAATATTACCTCTGAATTTATGTTTGAATTTTGTTGAATTTATACATACTTTATTTTAATTTTTGTGATACTAGGAATGAACCCAGAACATTCTGCCACTGAGCTACATCCCCAGCCCTTTTTATGTTTTTATTTTGAGACAGGATCTCACCAATTTACCCAGGCTGGCCTCAGATTTGTGGTTCTTTTGCCTCAGTATCCTGAGTAGCTAGCTGGATAAAAAGCATGTGCCACTCCACCCAGCTTGTTATTTAATTTTTAAAAGAACTTTGCAGGCTAGGGGTATAACTCCACGGTAGAATGCTTCCCTACTATATGCAAGGACCTGGGTTGGATTCTCAGCATGGCATAAACAGCTTATAACTTTGTTAAAATGTGTATGTGCTCACTAAAAGAACTCATAAGAAAGAAAAAGGAAAACTGAAATAACACTTCCAATTTCTATCACTATAGTACTAAAATATTATTCTAGTCATTTTCAATATGTAAATCATAACATGGATACACACATACAACTTACATAACTGAAATAATAGTTACATTCCCTATTGTAATTTTTTGCTGAACCTATCATGGTTTTTTCTATGTCAATAAATATAGATTCACATTATTACTTTTAATGGTTGCATAGTATTCCACTCTAGAAATAAGCATAATTTACTTAATCATATCATACATTTTAATGATATTTAGGTTGTTTTCAAAATTAAATTGTAAATAGTCAACACTGTCACTACTACTTACAGATACAACTTTTTTCATATGTAATGATTTTTGGATTATAATGGTGTTTAAAAATAGGGAATGATAGGAGATACGCTGACAACAACTTTAAGGGATTTGAGATGGTGTTAAATATCCTTTAAGAGTCCCTTCACTGCCCATCAAGCATCTTTTAACCAAGCATCATAAAGTGATCTTAGAATTTGTCTAGAAATCTCTTGCTTTGATGAAGAAGATTATTATGCTTATCTTTGCTCTTTTCTATGTATTTAGAAATGCTTCTGATTACCACAAACCCATATGATTACCCATTTGTCAGTCAAGGGGAAATCAGTGTAGCCAGCATTGATGACCAGGAAGAGCTGATGGCCACAGATGTAAGTAGAACACACAAAAACTGGAATTACTACATTGGGTCAGAGCAATGGTCCATTTAGATAAATATTTAGTATCCCATGGAAATAGCAAAGACTGAAGTGTTAGGAGCATATGCATGCCTCCTGGAGTCTATGAAAATGTTAAGATCTGCTTCTACAACATTTTAATTTACCTTAATAGTCTAAAAATTTATTATTTTGGAATTTAAGCAATTTAACTATTTTTATGTCTATTTTCTATGGACCAAACCACCTTCAAAATAACAAGGGCCTTAAATTTACTATCCTTGTTCCCTAAGTTTACTTTTTGAACCCTCAGATGATACACACCTGAAATTAGATTGCTCTGTGCTGGTTTTTGGTTGACCAAACCTTTTATGCCCAATCTAAGGAATTTCTTGCCCCCTATTCATACTGGTAGTTTCAGTTTGACCAATAAGTCAGGAGTGGGAATGTGAACTATAAATAGCAAGTGTGTGGACTATAACTTAACAGGTACATTATTGATTATTTGACAGAGTGCTATTGATATTTTGGGCTTCACTAATGAAGAAAAGGTGTCTATTTATAAACTCACGGGAGGCGTGATGCATTATGGGAACATGAAATTCAAGCAAAAGCAGCGTGAAGAGCAAGCTGAGCCAGATGGCACTGAAGGTATCAGCTGAGTTGATGTCATATTTGTTTGACTCACATTTTTAACCTGTTCCTGTGAGTTTTCCTAGAGAAGACAAATTCACTTTTAAAAAGTGTTAATTTATACGAAAATAATATGTTGTGTGAAACATGGGCATTAGATAGTTTCTATCATTTCTAAAGTTCTTTAGGGCAAACTACCCATTACCAACGTCTTTAACTTAATGAAAAAATGGACAAGAAAGTTCAAAAAGTTATACATAAAAAACTGTACAAAACACACGTAGCTTAAAAAATTTAAAGAAGTGGGTATCTTTGGGCCATAATAAAATTGTTCTACCTTGATTCCCATTTAGTTGCTGACAAGGCAGCCTATCTCCAGGGTCTGAACTCTGCTGATCTGCTCAAAGCCCTCTGCTACCCAAGGGTCAAGGTCGGCAATGAGTATGTTACCAAAGGCCAGACTGTAGAGCAGGTAGGTACATAATTCAAATTCATCACCAGGACAAAGAACATTTTTATAGCCCTTACATAACTTTAAGAGCTCTGTCTTTGTCTTTCAAGGTGACCAACGCAGTGGGTGCTCTGGCCAAAGCCGTGTATGAGAAAATGTTCCTGTGGATGGTCACCCGCATCAACCAGCAACTGGACACCAAGCAACCCAGACAGTACTTCATTGGGGTCTTGGACATTGCTGGCTTTGAGATTTTTGATGTGAGTATGTAGCTGGCTGGTGAAGAGATTTTTATAGTAGGACATGGGAATAGTAACAACAAAGAATTTATGAATATCATAACCTTTTCTTACAACTGTCAGTTATATTAAGACTTAGATTGATTTGGCAGCTACAAATCATTTATTGTAGTGGCAATTCCACTTCTATGAGAAACAAAATGCTTAATGACGACTTGACTTGCTAAGTGATCCAAAGGGAGTTATGAATTAATCTGGTGTTGTGGAGGGAGAAGGATTCTAAAAATCCCACAAAGCAAAATGAAGCTAATGTGAAAATATCAAAGTAAACCTTGTGATTAAGTATGCTCTGAAAGTATAGTGGAGAAATCATTTGGAAATACTTAAACAGATAATAAAAGCTGAGAAAAACTTTATAATTTAGATTCAGCATTCATAAATGAAATTAGCTTTTAATGCTCATTAATGTGATATAATGAAACAAAAGTTCATATTTGATCATGAGATACATTTTTCCTGCTTATAGTTTTTAAGAAGTTTATCTTCTTCCTAATTATTAAAGTAAGATTTGGACATTACATAAAATATAAAAAAGTCAAGGGAAAAGATTCCACATAATTGGACTTTATATCTAGTTAATATTAACATTTTGGTGGAATTTTAAAATATAAGTGTATATTCTCATACTGCATGTGATTTTTGGTATTATGATTTTTTTCATTTCACATTAAAGAATAGAAGTGGTAATTATTGCTCACTTGAAGTGCTGACCAAAGTGAATTCCTCATAATGTAGACTCCTAGACAATTTCTCAGGGGTTGCAAGTTGGCTCATAAGTCCACTGAAAACTAGGAGCCCTCTAAAAGATGTAGAAGATAATGGGAATAAATATGGGATGATTAAGTAGGAACTCAAGAAAACACCTGAGTAAACTTTAGCAAATGCAGGGGAAAATAATACTAGTAGGATTTTCTATAAAAACGGCAGTAGGAGAAATAGTAGATTCCACATGTCTTCAAACCTTCCATACATTTTACTTTTTATTTCAAAGGAATCTCTTTGGTCCAGTGATTTTCACATCTATCATCTAAAGGCTATTGGACAAAAATTTTTAAATTTAAAAGTACTGTATTTTTTTAAATGCTCAATTTTTTTAAGAGAGAAATAAACACATCTATTTATTTAGTTCAACAGCCTGGAGCAGCTGTGCATCAACTTCACCAATGAGAAACTGCAACAGTTCTTCAACCACCACATGTTCGTGCTGGAGCAGGAGGAGTACAAGAAGGAAGGCATCGAGTGGACCTTCATTGACTTTGGGATGGACCTGGCTGCCTGCATTGAGCTCATTGAGAAGGTAACCTCCTCTGTCTACTTGGTCTCTACTGCCCATGTACTCTGCTTTTCACATTTACCCACATGCCTTTTACCTCGTCTTAAATTCAGCCTATGGGCATCTTCTCCATCCTGGAAGAAGAGTGCATGTTCCCCAAGGCAACAGACACCTCCTTTAAGAACAAGCTGTATGAGCAGCATCTTGGAAAGTCTGCCAACTTCCAGAAGCCTAAGGTGGTCAAAGGAAAGGCTGAGGCTCACTTCTCCCTGATCCATTATGCTGGTACTGTGGACTATAACATCACTGGCTGGCTGGACAAGAACAAGGACCCCCTGAATGAGACTGTGGTTGGGCTGTACCAGAAGTCTTCATTGAAAACTCTAGCTTATCTCTTCTCTGGGGCTCAAACTGCTGAAGCAGGTAATGCCCAAAAGTCTAACATTTTCTGTAGATATTACAAAATGAGATGTTAGATTGAGGCTGGAAAACTCATAGTCCTGGCAGAGTGTTTGCTGGCCAAACCCATTGTTCGCCTAAGCATTGAGTAGGCAGGCTGGTCTATAATTATACATGTGTGGCTGGAGTCACCACAAATAGGGGTCCTACTTGCAAAGAGTGAGAAAGGAGGAACTATCATACTCTCAACCAATGAAAAGCCTCAGCTTCTATGATTGCTTCTGCTTCTTCCACTACACTGAATAGCTGGAGATATTTAAGATAATGTAGTGACCAACTTCTGCCTCTCTATACTTGCTTTATTGATGATTTCTGAAGTTAATATATCCTAAATGTCCAAATATCGGGGTGTCCATTTCTATATGATAAAGGGAATGGCCTTCACATTATTTCCCAATGAAGAATGAATCACAGAAAAGTGGATGCAAACTTAGTTAAAAATACAATTCAAACAGAGGCACCAAGAGAGTGAGGAAATGCTCCATTTGATGAACACAGAAAAGCACAGACATCTGCAAATTGGCAAGGATAGCCCTTTTGATTCAGAACCACATTGAAATGATACTTCTTTTTCTCCAGAGGCAAGTGGCGGAGCTGCCAAGAAAGGTGGCAAGAAGAAGGGCTCCTCTTTCCAGACTGTGTCTGCCCTTTTCAGGGTAAGGAAGAAATTGTTCTTACATTTCCCAGTTACTTTGGGAATTTTGTTTTTCTGGTACTAGGGAATGATCGCAGGGCCTTGCATGTGCTAGACACTGAGCTAAACCCCTAGCCCATAAATTCGTTTTCAGAAATATAAGATCTTCTTTTCAAGAGACATTAGGAAAGAACTGACATTAGCTAATGACTTCTATTGATTTAAATTTGGAGAGAAAGGATTTAAATTACTCAGAAATGATTATCTCACCTTTCATGCTAAGCCAAATAGTGAAGAATATGTGATAGGAAATTTCATAAAACTTAATGCTCTATATTCATAATCTAGTGAGTCTGACAAGGAACAATGACATGTACACAGAGAGACTAACAGACATTGGCAAGACTAATGACATCTAGCAGATAACCTATAACAAAGCTCACATGGTGTCCTTGCTCTTAAATTAATTCTCAATTATAACTGGTAGATTTGCTTACTTATAGATAATCTTATGTCCTAAAATTTTACAGAACTGGAAAGAGGGAGCTATATTTATGAGAAAAAGTTCAATTGTGTGCAGGCTTGCATTTTTGTTTTGAAGAACTATAGAGTTTAGTAGAAGAGAGTATGATCATCTAGTATGGGTAGCAGTGGCCTTGTGTCTGTGGGTTGCCAAGAATGTAGGTAGAAAGAAGGACAGTGCTGGTATAAACTGAAAAGAAGCACATTTGGTTGCTGTGAGTAACTCCTGCCAACCTAAATTCAGAAAATGTACTGAGGAAGAAACTAATCTCAGGAGAAGCATTTGAGTTATTCTTTTAAATGAAAACAGTCCATTCAGGTCATTCAACCCAGCCATAAAGACTGGCTTTATAAACACTGCCAACTGTTCATTACCATGTCCACAGTCTGAGATGACAGGATTTTTCCTGGTTTTACAGGAGAATTTGAACAAACTGATGACCAACCTCAGGAGCACCCACCCTCATTTTGTGAGGTGTATCATTCCCAATGAAACTAAAACTCCAGGTAAGAAGTTATAGAATGAAAGAAGAAGACATTATTGCCACACCCCCTTATTCAGAACTCTGCAGTGAAATATGTATGTATTTTTTAGGTGCCATGGAGCATGAACTTGTCCTGCACCAGCTGAGGTGTAATGGTGTGCTGGAAGGCATCCGCATCTGTAGGAAAGGATTCCCAAGCAGAATCCTTTATGCAGATTTCAAGCAGAGGTCAGACTGTCCTAATTATGGCATATCTTGAAGTTTTATGCAAATAAATTTAGTATAAGAGAACAATTTAGTGAAAAAATTTTAATTAGCCAAAAAAGTAAAAAGTGTACACCTCAAATATATCTTTAAGGTATTTAATAGGTATATTATATTTTAACCACTGTGTAGAATTTTCATTGAATTTACCAAGCTCCCAACTAGTTTACAGATGTGTGTGCATTAATTTCAATTTAGTTATGAGAACTATCTTTTTGAATACTTAGTATGTTTGAATTATCTCATTTAGTCATTATAAAAACATAGTACAGGTAGGCACTAACATGACTTCATTTTATAGATGAATAACCTGAGGTGTAGAGAGATAAGTTATTTGCCCAAAGTCAGACATTTAATAAGTGGCTGAGTTGGTAACTTTCCCATGCATGTATAACTTCAAATAATTCCTGTTCTATTGCTTCCTTTAACTGTATCTATCTTCATTTTTCTCTCATACATAAGCTTCCAAGTGTTTCGCAGAAACAGAGGGGACATGTCACAATTCCTTAGATCCTTTTTCTCCTTCCTAGATAAGCCTGTCCTGTAAATCCAAGAATAAGCTTGGGTGGCAGCTGCAGGGAGCAGGTCTCTCCTAAGTCTAGGTCTGGTGGAGTTGGACAGAGAGCTTCAGTGTTCAAGACTCGATGCACCCTAAGTTTGATTTTAAGTGTTTAGGGCAGCTCTCCATACCTGAAGTATCTTCTACCAGATTTTTCAATAAAAAGCACTCTTGGACTCAGGATTTTAAACAGCAAATTCATCAAGCAGGGATAACATTATATTTTATAGGTCATCTATAGCTTAATGTGAACAAGATTATAAAATTCTTTTCTGAGAACAGGGTCTGATGAGGCAGAAAAGAAAATTGCAACTCTTTAAGAGATGGTAAAATGGAGTACAACTTGATAGCCAATAGGTTGACCATCCATGTAAGCAATGTCATCCCTCTTTGAACAAATAATAATATTTTTAAGAACTTTTATTTTTAAATAAATCATTTAATATTTAGATATTATTTGTTTTATTAGTAAACCAAGCATTATTTTATTTTTTTAAACTGCATTTGCTTTACAGATACAAGGTACTAAACGCAAGTGCTATCCCTGAAGGACAGTATATTGACAGCAAGAAGGCTTCTGAGAAGCTCCTGGCGTCCATTGACATTGACCACACCCAGTATAAATTTGGTCACACTAAGGTAACATTCTCTAAATCCAATCTGATACTATTCCTGTTCTTTTGTATTTGATGCAACATTTCTAATCTGGAACACTGCCCCCACACAGGTCTTTTTCAAAGCTGGTCTTCTGGGGCTCCTAGAGGAGATGCGAGATGACAAGCTGGCCCAACTGATTACCCGCACCCAGGCCATGTGCAGAGGGTTCTTGGCAAGAGTGGAGTACCAGAAGATGGTGGAGAGAAGGTATAAAAATGTACTGTTTATTCATGTCTTTCATCCTCAAAAACACACTTGAGGTGGCTTACAGATTCAACTGTGCTGAGGACACTGAAGGAATGGTAAGAGTCCCATAGAGAAATGAAGGAAAACTTAAAGGATCATCACCATGAAATATATTCTGAGTGTTTGGGTAAAAAACTGAGAAGCATGAAGTGTTCATAGTTTTCATCTAACAAGAGAAAATACATCAGTGAGAAAGCAGAGACAAATTTTACTGTAGCACCTGGTTCTAATATGATTTATTAGGCAGATGATTAAAGAGAGGACATTGAAATGTATAGCATTTTCAAGAATGGTTTTATACAGGTTATAATCCTGTATTAGCCTTCCTTCATCTGATCATTTCTATTATTGAACTATCATGATTTAAAATATTAAGGGCATTTTGTCTATGAAAGACTTGTTGTAGTAAATTAATACAATGTCATCAAGGGATATGGCTTCCTGGTGATCTAATTTGTTGAAGGGACAGAATTCAAAGACTATAGTGCTAGGCTTCTCAGGCTGCAGGATATACATGACCAGGACCTATAGTGATATATGCATTTTACATTGCCATTCTATGTATATCCACACATATGTGTAAATATATAAACAATTTACATAAAACAAATTTTATTTTTACTATTTGAAATTATGCTTAAACTTCTGTGGTATTCTATTTCACTAAAAATAATAAATTTGGGTCCTAAACATATATATATATATATATATATATACACATACACACACACACATACACATATATATGTAAATAATTGTCTATAAATGAGGGTAAATAATTTATTCAAATAACCTAAATTAAAGCAAATGTGGTATTATAGAGTATAATGCAAAATTCACACCACATTAAAATATAAAACTAGAGATTGTCAAATAAATTCTAGCATCTTTAATCAGATACCCCACAATCTTCAAAGGCTGTGTTCACCTCCTGCTTCCCTTATGGTATTTTAGTAAGAATGTTTGAGAGGCACTGAGGCACAGCAGTACTTCTCAAAGTGTAGTCCTTGATTTGCATTATCACCATCCCTTGTTAACCTGTTAAAAGTGCACAATTTCAGGTCCCACCCCAAATCCTCTGAATCTGACTCTTTGGAGGTGGAGTTCAGGAATCAGTGTTTTATCAATCCCGTCAGGTCATTTTTATTCATTCCAAAGTTTGAGAAGCAATGAGGTAGAGGAATGAGTAGAGGAATAGCAAATCCTCAACTATCACCCCTAAAATATCACTTGCTTAATCTGTTCACTTCAAAGAAGGTGAGGATTAGAGTGGGGACAGAACCTCCAACTCTTGCTGCCTAAATTTCAACTCATTTCATCATCCACACAATACCTAATTTGCAGTCATTGAATTTTAGGGAGTCCATCTTCTGTATCCAATACAACATACGAGCCTTCATGAATGTCAAGCACTGGCCCTGGATGAAACTGTTCTTTAAGATCAAACCTCTGCTAAAGAGTGCAGAAACTGAGAAGGAGATGGCCACCATGAAGGAAGAATTCCAGAAAACCAAAGATGAACTTGCCAAGTCAGAGGCAAAAAGGAAGGAATTAGAAGAAAAGATGGTGTCACTGCTAAAAGAAAAAAATGACTTGCAGCTCCAAGTTCAGTCTGTAAGTTGGGGTACCATGTTGGGTATTGCTAATCAGAATGCAGGTGCTAGAACTCTGACCATTATGGGCAATGGGCTGGATAGTCAGCAGGGCAGACAAGCATTGGAGAGAGAAAGGTGAAGCCCTCCATGTATCCCTTGATTGCCTGTTGAATCCCTTCCATACACAACAATTAGGTAGAAATGTCCATCATCTTTCATTCTACAATTTTATTAAACTCCAGGATTTATGTCTTTTCCTTTTGAAGAAAGTCCTTGGAAGCGATTTTAACATGAAGTAATCCCAGATAAAATATTAAGGGGAGGACATCACAGAGGGAGATTTTTTTCCTGAAGCTTCCTTGAACACTTTTTTAATGTCCATGAGTCTTAAATTACAATATTGACAGCTGGCAAATGGCAGCATTCAACACCAAATTTTATTGAATTCTTGTTAATTATCGATATAAAAAATTCTTATCCACTCTTTACAATCTATCACCATAGTCAGTACCCTATTACATCCACACCTAGATTGCTTCATCAGTATCTAAATTGCTCTGCCTACTTACAATTCTCTCCTATTCTGTCCAAGCTCCTCACTGCTCGCTCTTGGGCCAATCATTTTAGAACTGCTACCATCAACTTGGAAATGCAATTTATAGGACTGTTTTTCATTTAGAAAGAATTGAATTAGTCTGGTATAATTTACTCATCACAAAATCATATTTTTTTTTCAGATAATATTAGTCTCTGCTGTCAAGTTTGGGCAGTATAATAACTCCTTCAAGATTACAGTAGGAAAAAAGAGCCTCCCCTTGCATTTTTTTTCTTTATTGCCTCTACCCCCTTCAAATCTATTCCAAATTTTTTTCTGTTCTCCCCAAAGATTTACTCAGAATCTGTTCTACACCACTACATTCACTACATAGCTATACAGAGAATATATTCTTCTGTGTATTCAAAAGTTGATATGGAAGATCACTGGTGAATATAAATTTCATGTTTCTCTCATTTTCTGCCTGCTCTGTTCCCATTAATTGGAAACAGTGGGTTGCCAGGAATTTTTTGATTACTTGTTGCCTCAATTTGAATTTAAAGCATCATAACCAGGGTCATCTTTCAGTACTACAAAGAAATATGTTTCAATAGCAGTTGCAGGTGGAAATTTTCTGGCAGGAATGCTTCCCCATCCCCCACCATGATTTTCTTCCTAATAAGTTGATTTCTGCAAACCTAAATACTATCCATCTCTCAAGACTTAACTCAAATACCAATTCTTTTATTAAGCCAAACTTGGCCCAACTTCTCTGTTCTCTGATGTCATTAATTGCTTTCTACATTAACGGTAGCCTTTGAGAGAGAGGTTTTCTAATCTATTGTGGAATATACTCTTCTAAAGGAATAGGTCAACTACCAATACTTTTTGTTTTTTCTACATATGAAAATGTACTGCACTTTAGTAAGTGGTCATGAAACAAAATCTGTGAAGACATAAACAAGTGAATACAGGAAATCCAAGAAAAAAATGTAAACATTTATACTTTTATCAGTTTAAAGTATTTTATTCTTTCTTCTCAATTGTAATTTCAAGGAAGCTGAAGGGTTGGCTGATGCAGAGGAAAGATGTGACCAGCTGATCAAAACCAAAATCCAGCTTGAGGCCAAGATCAAAGAGGTGACCGAGAGAGCTGAGGATGA